ATTTTGTTAGATCTTGCAATTCCCTACTCGGAAACATAATATTTGAAATGTCTTACATAACAATTTTTTTTGAATAAAAGTCATTTAAAGATTAGACACATAAATTTTATTTTATTTTGAGAACACAATAATTGATTAAAAGATAATTATTTGTAATTAAGTGCTTAATCTAACAAAATAATAATAATAATAATAATTATAATAATAATAAAAAAGAATTTGTGAAATTGTCAATAAATTCTTTTTATTATTATTTTTTTTTTTTTTTTTTTTGGTGAAGCACTTAATTACAAATAATTTTTTATTCATTTATTGTGTTTCAAAATAAAATAAAATTTATGTATCTGATCTTTAAATGACTTTTATTCAAAAAAAATTGTTATGTCAGATATTACAAATATTATGTTTCCGAGTAGGAAATTGCAAGAAAAAAAAATTGGGGTTACCATTTAAAAAAATTGTCAATGACGTCAGTGCCCAAAAATGGGAAGTGGGGGAAAATTGAATTATATTTAAAAAATTGCGCTTTAATTAAACAAAATTGACCTGTCCGAGCATTTTTTCAAAAAACCAACTACTTCCATTATAATGAATTTATTCCTTTCATTTGAACCATACTGTATATGACTGCTGTTTTGTCCTTTTATAATTCCTTACATTACTAATATTATTAATCAGTGTATTATATCATCTTACTTTCCTCGAAACTGGAAATTTGCAAAGGTAATACCCATTCCTAAAATCAAAACGCCCTCTGAAATGGGTCACTTAAGATCTATTACTGTATTACCAGGTATCAAAAACAGTCCGGCTTTCGCAAGGGACATAGTTGCGCGACTGCTCTTGCTGATGTAATTGATGACTTCGATTCATGATGAAGATAATAATAAATTAAGTATCTTAATTTTACTGGATTACTCTAAAGCATTTGATATGCTGAATCATAAACTACTTTTAGCAATCACACATTATCTAGGTTTTTCTGATACTGTTACAAAATTTGTTAGCTCTTTGTTAAATGATAGATTTGAAGCGGTTGAAATAGGTATGAAAAAATCTCTATTTAACAATAGGAGTTTCACAAGGAAGTATACTTGGGCCACTGTTATACACCCTATATACCAGTAACTTCCAACGTGCACTTAAATTTTGCTACTACCACTTCTACGCAGATGATACGCAAATTTATTACTCCTTTAGTCATGACAAAGTAATGAAATCATCTCGGGCTATTAATGCTGATCTTGCTAAACTTGCGGAAATATCATCAGATCATTTATTAAGAGTAAATCCTAGCAAATCATGTGCCGTATTATTTTTGAGATTTTTTGAAAAATGAAGTAAAAAATTTATTAAATTTAAGACTTGGAAGTGAAAATATACCAATTAGTGACTCTGGCAAAAGTTTAGGTCAATAAATTAAGGTTCAAGGAACATAAAGGCTATTTACCCACAAAGACATTTTTTAGATGTCAACATTAAACGAACTTTGTGTGATTCAATCGTACTTTCCCATTTTGATCACTGTGAAACGGTTTACGGTCCTTGTATAAGATACTAGCAATAAAAACCAAACCAAAAGATTTAAAATTCCTGTATTCGACTCATATATGGTATCAGACGTGGTCAGAGTGTTTTATATTAACTTAAAAACTTAAAATGGATAAACAAGCACATCCGCCGCACTCTACATTTAGGTTTTCTTTTTAAAATTCTAAAATTCAAAACTCCTTATTTACATCAAAAAATTAAATTTCGAACCGATATCCACAATATCAATATCAGACGCAAAAATAAACTCAAACGATCATATTCCTATTATAGTGTCGCTAAAGTTATTAATAGTTTAATTGAATGCAACCTATTTTATGTTTCTGTTACACCCTACACATTTAAAACAAATTATAAAAAATACCTACTTGCATTACTATAGGGTGTATTGCTCCATATAAACTATAACTACTATTAAAACAAATTATAAATAAAGTGTTACATACCTTTCTGTCTTAATATTCTTAACTTTGGCACTTATAAATAAGTATTGTTAAATAATGCAGTAATCATATCTTGGTTTACAATACGTAAAATACTTGAATAAGCTTTTATAAATTTAACTGACAAACTCACATGTGAACATGGCCCATTGCCTGAATTCTTTAATACTAATAAAAAAAACTTTGCAACGCCTATTCCTAAGTTTTAAGGTTATAGATAGTTTTCTCATTACAAATTTTTTGATCTATTGCCGAATTTCGAGTCTAGGGTAATCTGTGGTTGTTCTAAAATTAAATATTGTTATGTGCATTTCGATGAAATTATTGATTACAAAACTAATACCGTTTGAGATATGGAACGTAGGGTTAAATCTTTAATTAAATCCATAACTAAACCCAGTAAATTCGATGCGATTTATATAACTGTATGTATAGGAAACGGCCCCATGCTCTCTAATTGAATGTAAGGGAAAACCGAGGAACTGTACATATTTGATGGGACGATATCGCTGAGTACAATCATTCGTATATACGGTATCAGAGACGCAATAAGGCGGGTCTTTAAATCCGATTGGAAACCTCAGCAGATTATTGGGATTCGTTCACTCGTCCTCTGGGCAGAGGGAGTGAAGACTCGACATACACTTGAATTTCCCCCGAGGGAGCAAAGCCCCGGCTTTCTTAAGGACTCGAAGTTGCTCCCGATACTGCTGACTTCGTATTATGATGCTCTTCATAATATGTTTTATCGACATATCGTCTACAATATAAAGTACGGTCACTATTAGTTGCTCTTTTTTTAAACGAAATACGTAGGCGCTGTAGCTTTCCCAATAGATGCTGTTCAATTTTATGTGGGGCCAGGGCCGCTATAAATAAAATTGCAGTTGTGGGGACCGTTTAAAAACTTGTTTGTATAATTTAACAATTACTGAACTCTTTAAAGTAATAATAATTAACTTCTACATAGTTATATCAATCTTTTGTGGAATTTCCATTTAAACAGCATTGTTTCCCGTCTTGTATTTTCCGAAAAGCAAGAAAGCAAGTTTTCAACTCCATTCCTTTTGCTCTGGAGCTTGTTCGACATAAAGATTTTCCAATTTTGATTTCAATCTTGAAATGTGGGCGACAATTAAAAAGCAAACTTCTGGAAAGTTGAAAACTAAATTAAAAGTATGACTTCGAGTCGAAATTAATCTTAATATCACCTTTAATATTGAATTCCATGTCAGTCCAGTCAAATGCGGGAGTTTTTCGGAAATATAAAATTAATACGTAATCATTTTCTAAATATTCGTAGGTAATGGTTAAAATTTGGTAATAATATATGACGTTTAATGATAAACATACACATACACGAAAAAAAAATAAAAATTTGCCACAAAATTTGGATTAAAACAACATGTAGACTATTAATTTAAAATATTCAGCAGTCACAGCAAAAAGCGCACCTTTTAGGCCAAAATTACCTTTAGCAACGCCATATTACTTTCCCAATAAATATTTCTTTGATTCGATTGTTTGAAAACAAGTCATTGGCAATAATTTTAAATACTTTTTATATGAAATATATATTACAGTGTGTACAAAAACTAACTCAACTTGTTAATATTTCGTTTATAAGAAATTCTAACTTTTTTAGTAAGAAAATTATATTTATTTGAAAAATTGAATTATATATAAATCAAGGAAACAAATAACTTAGATGCTCATAAAGTTTTCATTGTTTTATTTGGCAGTATTCAAGTCTATTATAAAAATCTGATACATCACTTCATTGCTCAATTTTTTTAAACTTCTTGAGCTTTCTTTTGGTGAAGGACGGAAACAATTTTCCGAAAGTTAACAGACATATGCTCCTTCTTACACCATCATTTTAGAACTTTCTAATAAAAAATAATCTAATGGTGTTAAGTCAAGAGATTTTGCTAACCACTCAATTTTAAATGTAATAAAGTACTATATTTGAAGGTACATCTTTTCTTAAACATGATTTATTTCATAAAACCGTCCCTTTCCCCGGACAAGCTCAGCTTTTGGGGTTAAAATTCACTCGTAAGGGGGTGAATTAGGGAGAGTATTATTATTATTATTATTATTACCAAAACATTAGGAAGTTACGTTACTTTCTGCACACACTGTATACGACCTCTAATAATAAATAAGATTTTTTATATATTGCACTTCTTTTAACAAAAATCTACTGTATCATTATTCAAATGTCTGAATTTAAATTAATAAATCGGTTTTTATAGAATAAAAATGGTGAAGAAATGTTCAGCAATCTTTGATGTTTGATTTACATAAATATTCTTGAAATGGCTGGCCCGGAAGTTGGAAATAAATTTGAATGGATGATTTTTCGATTAAAAAAAATGTCGACGTTTTGAGGAAATATGGAGTAGATTTACAAGGTTTTCAGTTAAATACTTTTGTTGGATTTTCGTGTCTTTGATATCGGATCATTTTCAATTTTATAAAATGCTTTCCATTTGTTTTAAACAGTTACAATAAAATTAAAAGTATTACCTATTGTACAATGTCCTAGGTACTTTGTTTTAAACTCTAGGTACTGTGTTTAATACATTTTTGATTATATGGTTGGCTTGAATTTTTCATAGACTTTTGTTAAGATCTAAAAAATGTTTTTTACCATCAATATATTCATTGATTTTTCAGGAATTTTCATGTTTGTAACTTTACCTAACATTAAGGCTAAATAAACCTTAATGTTTTGGTCTGCTCTAGCGTCATGGCTTTACGCCTGAATTACTATAGACTACAATTTGAAAAAAATTTAGTGGAAACCCATAAAAAACAACATTATTAATAATAGTAAACCATTTTTTAAAAAGTTTAGATATTTAGACCCCTAGCAGCAATTTTATTACACCTAAACACTTTGAAATACAATATCTACCAAATAATAATTTCTGTTTTAAAAAATTCTCATCCAAAGACTAAAACAGTATTATTTTAAGAAATATTTTTAATAAAAACATTTTATGTTTCTTTTGTCTCTGATTTGCAACATTCACAAAGCGTTTCCATTTTTGGCAATTCGTCATTGGAAATATTATTTTGATCCAGTTTGAAATCTTCAATATATTCGCTTAATGTAGAAGGAAGTTGAACTAGAGTTGTAACAATAGTCTGCACGGCATGGTTCCACGTTTTTTGAAAGTTTTCAATCATTTTTTCTGAACTAAACACAGGGATGTCATCCTGACAATATGCTGTAGATCTATTGAACTAAAAATAAATTGGACCTTGTTTGGTTGGATTTTTGTTTATAATAATTGACTCTAACGACTTTTCAGCAATATCCTAATCAAGAAATGTAATGACGATTATGACAACTATCATCGGTTTTGTCAAATACGTCAGTGACATTGTTTTAGAGCTTAGAATATATATAGTCAAGAAGGAGGAATCCTAAACGACCTTGGAATCGCGATGGTATCTAATTTTGACAGTGAACTAGACGAATATGGCGACAAGTGTTTCCGGTCTACCAGTGACGTACTGTCATAAAGGGCGTAGAAAAGAAAATAATAATTTCTCATTTTCATATTATCTAAAACCGATTTCTCTCATTTTAACGAATTGTTATTTTCTTGCGAGAAGTTTGAATTTTTTTATTAACCTTCATTATGTGAATAAAATTTACTTTAAAATTGCATGTTGGGTGGGATAAATATAGGAAAATATTTTTGGGATAATTTATAGAGGGATTTCATTTGAAAAATCAAAGTATAATGTATTAAAAAATATATTGACTTTTTTACGTCTTTATTATGACAAATTTTACAAATTATTAAGTTTTGAAACATAAATGTTTTGTAGATATGCGTTAAAAAACTACTAAACTTTTTAAAAATGTCTACCAAACATACGCTTGATAAAAGTTTAAATTACCACATAAAAAATCTAAATTATTAACAAATTTTAATCACTAAAATTATAGACTTCCGTCAGATCGATTAGATTAACGCGGACATAGCATGCTCCTTCCTGACTATATATGTTCTAAAATTATGACAACTACCATCGGTTTTGTCAAATACGTCAGTGATATTGTTTTAGAGTTACTACTGCAGTTATTACTAATACAATTTATGGTAGGATTCTGGAAAATATCCTACAAGCTACAGAATCTGTAAGATATATTAATGTAATGTAATTTTTTTTGGCTTGCAGATCTTATAAATTGTCTCAGAATCGACCCATTAGTCATATAAGATACGGGTATTGTTGAAGAATCTGTATATTAGGATCAAGTGTCTAATAATTTTGATTTAGATTGGTGATTTAGATTTCCATAGTTTCCCTAATTCATAATTCTTGTTATTTTTGGACTTACTCCAAACATAAAGTTGGAAAAAGTAAAATTGGTGATTTTATTTTTTTGAGAATACACAAAATTACTTATTGCAATCAAAGCAAACCATTCTTGAGGGGGATGATACATATAACAGAGCGTCAGGAAAATTATATATCCCAGTAAATGTATACAAATGTCTATAAGACGAAATAAACAATTTTTCGGTTTTGTTAAATTTCATGCCAGAAATTAAATTTAATCTTTTTTTTTCTGTTATTGCTTTTCTAGCTTGTATAGGATCGGTGGATGGTAAGACAATAGTTATACGCTAAAGAAGGCCCTAGATATTCCATATAATAAATCCGAAGATGGAAATTACATAAATTGGATATATATTGGACTTTCTAAAAGTAATATCTTAACAGATGAGGACCCAGATGATGAAGATGAGGAATAATTCGTGGTCAACCTTCTAGCACATCGAAAAGAGTTTTATCCAATAAGATAAGTAGCAATTCAGGAAGATATTTATATGACTGTCATCTGTCATTCTTTTTAATAGCCCAGTTCTTTGATTTTGAAGTTTTTCACGAAATTGTACTTCTTTCTCAATTCGTCTTGGGACATAACTCAAGTATCTTCGGTCTTGTGGCTGATTACTGCATTCCTATTCATTCAGTATATGACAGAAATAATTGAGAAACCAACAGGAACATAAGATGTTCAGCAATATTACAATTAAAGATTTATTAGTTCAATTGTACTTACCGGAAATCTTTCCTTTTGAGTCGCACAAGTTGGTGGCAATAATTTATCAGTTTGATCTCGTCTTTTATTTCTTAGATTACAAAATTTTCTATACAAGTCTTCGGTATCCTCAGCAGTTCCCCATAAACCGATATCATAGGACAAGTATACGCAAGCCGCTGCAATTAACATTTTACTTCCCATTCCAAGCAAAGGAAACAATATACGTTGTTTTTTTATCAAAGCTTTTTTGGTATCACGTGGTGGAGGGCATAACTTCTTTATTTCTGGTGTAGTGTAGATTCTTATAATTTTTGGTTGGATTCTGTCTACTGCTTTAAATAAAAATGTATGGATTATTTTTTAAGCAGATACTTTTATTTCCATATTTGCTTATATTTTAATATCAGTAAAATACTGAATGGGGTCCATCACTTTATTGTTAATATATTACACCTTTTCGAATGACTATGATGATGGATCTGTAAATCCTAATTTTTAATAAAAAAATATTTTTGGTATTGTCTTTTTGAATAAAATCAAAGGACATCCTGAGCGGGAATAAACCGACTTTATCCGATTTTTTTACGCCCGTCTTCTACACTTGCCTATAAAAATAATACCCATTATTTATTTGTCCACTAAATGGACCATAGAGGTCATATGAAACACCGACTAACGACCACTCTTGCGCTATTAAAAATTTTATCGCCGATCTGTATTTGTCGTTGAGCACCTATTCAAATCCATTCCGCCGTCGCGGAAATTTTCCTGTTTATATTTTTCCATTTTCCGTGTTATTTTGTGCAACGAGTGTTGTTTTCGCATCGCAATCTACTAGCAATTATGTCGGGTTTTTGTTGTTTACAAAAGTAGCTCTCAACTTTGCCTTCTCGCTCGTATGTATCATGTGTGTGTTTTCAAAATTGCGGGACGATAGGTTATGTTGTTAATAGCGGTAGTTACACTATACGAGAGACCTAATAATAATGTTATGATTGAATGTTTTAAAAACACTTCCATGCTTTCGGTGGAACAGAGTTAATTTTAGGAGATAGAAGAAAAATGGATAAGCAAACCATGTGGCAATCTAATTATTAGCATTCATAACAAGATACTTATTTCGTTTTTGAAACAATGAGCAAAAAATGTTTGGTCTATCTCCCTAACTCCATTGATCTTTCAAAGCAATATTACAATAAACATTAGGGCTAGCCAAAAAAATTAACTTATTGAATGTATGGGTTAAAACGAACCTATATACCGAAAAAAAAATTCCCTGCAAGGCAGGATTTTTTGCTCAATTTTAAAAGGTGTCGGTGAGCATTCAAAGTTTCCAATTCAAATAACATAAAAAAATCTGTTTTTCATTAAAAATACCATAACTTTTGAACAGTGGCGGCTCGTGGTAATTTGAATTGGGTGTTCACTTTTTCCAATCATTTGATCATTTTTGTAAGTTCGGCCCAAAACTTTGTAAAAGAGCCAATATCGCTGTTTTTATTATTATTTGAGTTTGTATTAAATGTAGTTATTATCAACATCATACTATTTTCAAGCACTATAACTATTAATAAATGAAAATTTTAGTTAGTGTGATATTTGTTTTGTTTTTAATTCATTGAAAACCACCTATAAACATTATTAGTTAACTGACTTTTCTTCATAATTTGAGATTATTTTTAAATATATATATATATATATATATATATATATATATATATATATATATATATAAGGTTATGTAGAAAGCTTGACATTGATTTTTGTGTAAAAAATATTATATGAAACTTTACCTACCATTTTTCAGTTTTTATTGTAAATTTAATCATTTTCACATTTTGTCACACATGTCAAATAAAAAATATATTTTTTAAATACCTTTTAAAATAATAACTTTCAAATAAAATAAAAACTAAAATGTTTTAAATGTTTATTTTATGAAACAAATACAAACTAGAATAAAGATATATAATGCCAGGCATTCTAAATGATACTTTTCGCAGTTTAACAGACTCCCTTAACTACCCATTTTCTACCAGATTGTTTTCACAATCAATACCTCATCTCCTTATAGGGCTTGATTTTTACTAAAAATGTTGATATCGCTTTTCATTTTTGATTTTTTGTTTTTAATTTTAATTTCAACCCCCCTTAAATCACCCATATTTAATTAGATTTTTTTAATTAAAGGTAGTGGTGGCTCGTTATAATTTAAAATATTAATTCCTCGATTAATACAGTGTAAGAAAGAAACATCAAGTTTAAATTATAGAAATAATGCAAAATCATGCTTACCTAATATGAGATAATTCCCTAACACCCGTTTTTGTCCTTTCTGATTTAGTATTTTCATTGTTTGCAAAAACTAAACAAGGAAAACAAAACAAAGCATGTTGTTTATCACACCCGCATAACCACGAAGTTTTTTTATATTGTTCAATCTTAAAAGGATGTTTAAACTTTCTATTTCTTATGGCACATTCTTGAACAATGTTTATCTCCGATTGAGGTGGGCCATTCTTTTTTGTAAGCACTCGATTTTCGAAATTATGTCTATTTGTTTTTATAAATTTTACCAAATACGATTCCATCGTACATAAGCACTAGTAAATTCACACAGAACCTAAGACCAGTACAGCCAACCTCAAAACAACGAAAATTCGGTTCACGAAACACAAAAATCCATAAAAAGTATAATTTGTAAAGGGATCTCGTGTCTCACTGAGTATATTCTCACTTTCTTCTTTTATATATCGGTAAACAAGGATACAAATATATTCAGGTTCATATTTATAAACAGAACTCAGCTGAGTCGGAGTTGGGTAAGTCGTCCTTGAACTAAAATCAAAGTTCGGTTACAACGTCTCTAAAGTTCCAAGTGGTGCCGGTGTCACACTGGAATTTAGAGATGGATATTAGCAAATCTGTAAGTGTTAAGTAGGTACATTTACGGATTACTACTCATCTCTAAATTCGCACGATATAAACGATCCACAGGAAGACGGAATGACAGTTTGTTTGATTTGGTACAATGTTGCCAGAATATGTTTTTGTTATGTACCAGATTTTTCGAATTCTATTTGCAGTGACATCTAATTTATTGAAGAGGAAAAAAGAGGGTTTTTATAGATAACGAACCCAAACAAGGAACACAATATATTTATATATATATATTTTACACGTGAACACTGCCTCAAGCAAAATGTACTACATCTAGTACAATTGTTAATTGTACTAGACTGGCAACACTGGTTTGACAACCTAGTTTGTGAGCGGCGCGCCAATTAATGAGTTCTTTTGACGTTTGAAGGATATTTTGGCGTGTTGTTTTCTCTTTTTAACTTTATGCATTCATCAAATCGTCTCACTTATGTTAGGCTCACTCATCATAATGCGCCACAGACACAGTATACTTAGGTATTCTATGCCACAGAGACGCGATCAGCCAGAGGGCAATGATGTACCAAAAAATATAGATTAACACGTATGAAAATAAAAATATTAAAATTAAATTTATATTTTTATGTTATTTATGTAATTTTAAAATAATGTGTTTTTATGAAATTTAACTGGGTGTTCACTGCACAAATGAACCAATGGAGAAACCGCCCCTGCTTTTGAACCATTAAGGATAAAAAATGTTATGTCGCGGTTCTTGTAGAGCATAAAATTTCCTAAAAATCTATACCAGTATTATTTTTTTCAATTCAAAAATTCGTATATTTAAAAGCTTTAAAAAGTGAAAAAATCAAAATATTCAGTTTTAGTGTTTTTTGACTAAAAATGTTTATATTTAACAAAAATTTGGATTTAAATAATATAAAATAATTGAAAAATATTATTAATAATCTTCATTTATACACTCTTTTTGACAACTAATTAGTTCTTAATGAAATTTAATTTATTACAGTTAGATATTGCTGATGTAATTGCACTACTTGTAAGATGAATTGTTTTTGTTCATTTTTTGTTAGAGTTCGATTGTATTTCTGTATCAATGCAATAGCTCGTTCAGCAATAGTATTAACACATTTGATGTTTTTAACAATATCGGAACATGATTTATATGAATCGTCTTCCGCTCAATGTTCCGGCTCAATATTTAAAAAGTCCGGTGATAACTCCAGTCGCTTAAAAAATTCTAACGATCTTTTTGTGATAAAATCACTGATATTTTTCAAGCAAATTTTGTCAAGTTGTATTTTAGTTAATGTAATTTTGTTTTCATCAACTTTGTTCTCGTCTTGTTTCGTAACATTAATCATTTTCTTTTTCATTTCCAAGCTTATGCCATAAGTGTCGCGAAAATGTTGATACAGTAAGTAGCATTTGAAATCTTTTCAATGATATTTTTAAAGTTGATTAAAGTTTTCAGAAAAACTGGAGCCTTTATCGGACTAGGAGCTTCAAACCATGCTTTCACATAAACAATACTTATAAAACTACAAACGTCACCCAATCCAAGTAAATCTTTTTTACTACCAACATTAAATTGAGGCAATAGCTATCCTTGGACATCCATCTAGCATGTTGAGTTGCTCCAGGAGCTTTAAATGTGATAGGATAAGTTTGCGTACCATTTAAAAAAATATATACTAGTTCCAAGAATTCTCTGTAATCATCTCGAGGATGGTGTTCCTGAAAAAGTTCAATAAATCATGTTTTCCCGAAATCGTTCAAACGTAGAAACATTTGGACCTAACGTTGCAGGTAAACAAATTTGGCATGCTTTCTGAAGAACTAATTCATAAATATGATGTCGGCAAGCAAAATAAAGAAATTTCTTTTCAAGTATACGTTCCAATGTCGCATGTGCACCACTGTGCGGTCCTATAATAATAAACGTAATAAATTAAAACAAAAAAGAAAGAGTCAAACTTTAACCCAAGCTTCGTTTACCTGTATTGGAAGCCGTTGTTTTGAAGCATAAGCCTTTTATATTGTCTACAATACCCCAGTCATCTAATGAGTCAATTATGAACAAAGTTTGTTGCTCTCCTGTCCCGCTTTCGATTTTTGGTATGTTGAGTAACTGTTCGAAATTTGAGCCAGATGCAACAACTGCAAGCCTGTCAACTTTAGCATATCTACAAACGTCAACAAGAAATTTCGTATCCCAATGAAGGAAATGGATTTTGTCTTTAAAATCATCTACAATATCTTTTCTAGCTTCTAATCGACGCCTTCGAATGGTACTGTAGCTTTCCGGATGTCTCAGAGAAGGCAACGAGAATATATACTGCGCTTCTGCTGCAGTTTGATCGAGAGCACTCACTACTGCAGGATTTATAACGATTTGGTTATTTATGATTTTCAAGATAGGGATCTTCTAAATTTGAAGCGAATCGTTTTAAATCATTTTAAAATGATGAAACAGATTTTTCATGCTCCTGTTCAGGTGAAGAATGAAAAGAAGTACTTTGACTCGTACCTGAAAGTTTGAATGAATTAAGAAAGTATAATTAACATGTATACAAGAAAAAGTGTTATAATTTTTGAGAGAAACGACTTACTTGTTAATTCCAGCTCTGAAATTGGTGTTTCACTTAATGCAGACTTTGAAGTTGAACGTCGAAGTCGTGTATCTTCGTTTAACAAAGCTTTTTGTTCATCAGTTAAGAATTGTTCTGATGATCTCTTAGAAATATTAAACAACTTAGTTAATTTTTGAGTAAATTCTGTTTGTTTGTTTTTTTTGCAACAATTTATTTTTATTTGTTCGGGATTTCAAAAGATTTTTCCATTCCCAGAATAAACATTCAATTTTGGCCACAACATAAAATAGTTTATTTGTAGGAAGATTAAAATCACTTCATATTTGTATTACGTCCTTGACGACTTCTGTAGCACTATTCCGAATAGTTAGGTTAGGGGACTTTTTAAGAAATTTTATCCCAAACGATTCAAAAGTTATGGTATTTTTAATGAAAAAAGATTTTTTTACATGTTATTTGAATGGGAAACTTTGAATGCTCACCGAGGCCTTTTAAAATTGAGCAGAAAATCCTGTCTGGCAGGGAATTTTTTTTCTCGGTATATAGGTTCATTTTAACCCATAAATTCGATAAATTAGTTTGTTTGGCTCAACCTAATAAACATATTAACAGAGATGGTAATAAAGAACAAAATTCTTTAAGATTTAAGATTTTTTAAACAATTACTATGGAGAAATTCTATTGAACTGGAACTGCTGTTTTAAAATGCTATGAAAGAAAGAGATAATTTTTAATATGATGTGGACTGGTATTGTTGGAAAGAATGTTATACTGCCTGTTCATTTAAACGCAGATGCAATTTATCTCCATTTTTTGCAAAAAGTGTTTTCTCTATTTTAAGAAAATGTTTCTTTACATATTGGAAATAATAAGTGGTATCAACATAATAGGGTACCTCCACATTTTGGTTTGAAGGTTCGCCACTATTTGAAACGGCGATTTATTGGAAGAGAAGGTCCTGTGGCCTGATCTCGCGCTTTTCAGATATCAATTCGAAGATACCTGACTAGTTTTACAACATCGTTACCATAATTCGTAAACTCCACTTTTTGCCAAATTCACATTTTCATGCCAACTTGTAGAGAGAAAAAACTCTTATTACATGTTTCAAACCTCATAAATACAGAATCTAGAATCCAGAATAATATTATTTAGATTCTGTATTTATGAGGTTTAAAACATGAAATAGTTTTTTTTTTTTTTTCTACAAATTGGCATGAAAATGTGAATTTGGCGAAAAGTGGAGTTTTGCTAATTTGGGTAACGACATGTAGAAGCTATTCTAAGAATATCCAAAGTCATAGCCTTATTTTTACGGACTGAGTGTGTAGTATCTCATTTTAGTAATCTTTGATAATATTTTCTCTTATTTATCCTAAATTATCTACCATGATTGACGTAGGGTTACTCGCGATTGATTATCGTACTAAAAAGCAACGAAAGTAATTGAAAACGAAAAGTGTTACATAAAATGACATCCTATTAGCAATCGACCAATTACTAATCGGAAATTTTAGTATTATTCAATTGAAAATAATCGATAACTCATCAATCTGATTGAATGTGCGTCTCGGGTGATAAGTATAAATGTGTGTTTGGTTTCTAATTAAAGGTTCATTAAATAAACTGATTTTTTTGTAGCTATAAATTAGTTATAACAATCAAAAAGTAGGTATTTACATTGATATAGTAACGTTTTAAGACTTTCTTATTTTTGACAATCAGACTTGTTGAAGTTGTCGTTAATATATATCATTGTTAGTTCAGTGTTATGTAATTTCAAGTAGTTAATTAGATACTTATATATGTAATAATCTTTCTTTCTTAAGTATTTTATTACCATCACTAGTTTCCATCACACATAAACATTAATCGCTACATTGGATTAGTAGATACTGTTAAGTATATCATCATTAGTAAATACTTGCATTATACGAATATATAGACTAGCGTTTCTATCCTCAACAATAAAATTTAACCTCTACTTCCAGGAATAAAGTTATACTTTTTTTTATTCAAAAAAATTATTTTACTTACTTGCTGTATACGTTGGAGATTTCTTATAAGATGGCTTCCTGTCATCTTTTGGTTCGGTAGCTTTTTGATAAAATAAGTAATTCGTTTTGGTTAAACATTCTCGCTGAGTTTTGCTCATTCTACAGGTAATTTAGATAACATATACGAAAATGGAATATTATGGGATTTAGAAAGGTGTGATGACACTTTGAATTTAAAAAGTCATTTTAATGTTTAATCTTCTTTTTTTGTAATTTTATATTAGACGGTCGAACAACCTGTCCAAAAATGGTTACCATGAATTTGGCAGGATCAATGATATATGGATACGGCTTAATAATAATAATAATAATTTTATTGTTAAATTTGGCTAAATCACAACATCAAAGATTTAGCAACAATAGGTATAGAACTGCATATTTTTGTATTAAAACAATTGTATTTTAGAATAATTGTAATTAGGTCAAATTTGTTTTATATCAAATGTGTTTTAGATACAATATATTTTAGACTTTTTTTTACAATAATTTTCCGGGTACCTTACTGATCAATCCTTGTAATGAAAATTATAATGAGAAAACTATTTGTAACGAAATTACATAGAACGAATGACATCTATACACTAAAATGTTAATATGTGCTTTTCAAAAATAAGCTCCGTTGCAGAAATTTAATACGTGATTGAATTGAAAAAGCCGCATTAAGCCGTTCTTTCTAAGCAGTCAGAGTTCTTCCATTTATCATTCGAAAATGATGCACAATACATTTTCAGCGAGTTTATCAAACGATTATTAAATTCTTTTTGGAGTTCTTGCAATTTTTCGTGCACTCAGTTTTAATGAAAACGGGGAAAGTGAAGTCGTACAAATTCCTTTTCAGAATTTAAATTAGTATAACAGGAATATTAAAGATTTTACAGTTCTAAACATATTAATGAGATAAGAGTCTGTAGGTTCTCTCCATCCAATAATGTCTAAAACTAAAAAATAATACTACCACCCTAGAATCAAATTATTTGAGCCACTTGTCCTTAGTGTTATATTTAATTGTATTTTTGTTTGAGGCCTACAATACTTAGATATTGGCAAGAGTTCTTTAAATTTTCATCAATAATCCTGATATTACAATTCGTTTAGAGAAGAGTAAAGTAACAGAGAAAAATCCAAGTTCCAGGTTGTCGACAATAAGTTATGACCTGCTTCATGTATGGTTTTCCAAGATTGTGGTTAGAACAAAACTATAAAAAATATTTTCTGTAAAAAATTCTAACTGGTTACATATAGTACATTATTAACGACATCGCAATAAAATAATAATCAAGTGGTTCCCTGCAGGAGACCATCAATCCTGCAAGCGTAACCGCATCCGTAATATCCATTCATTAATCAGTGCGAAAGCACCAGGTGTTTTGGCCTTTATTAATCAAGGGGAGACGCACTTCTTCTACCGAATTTAAATGTAAAATAAGACCGTTCTTTTCGAGAATGAATAAATTTCGGGCTTCATTAATTTTAAAATGTGCAAAATATTTTAAGACATCATCTTAGGCGGTTTAGAGATTCCCGAAATTATTTTATTTCGTTATATTGTACTAAAAGCGAATTATGGTTACCGGATTGATACAAGGGTGCAAAATTTAATCTGGGAGCAGATTAAGGTATGTTGGTTTTCATCGCTGAAGAATTTATTAATCATCAATAAAGGAAGTGGTGGTATATACGTTTTGGAAAATAACTTTAAGTTTAGTGGTAATTTGGAAATATGTAGAAGAACTTTTTTTTTAATAGTATATTAAAAGCAAAATAATTATTAATATTGCTGTATACCACCTAATTAAACTGGTTACATAATCACAAAAATAGATAGTAAACAAGCTCGCGGCATAATGTTGTATCGATCACTATAGTCTATTTGAAAATGAATGATAGCAAAATTATATAAAAATATAGACCTTTGACATAAAAACTCTGCTATCATGCATTTTCAAATAAACTACAGTAAGGCTAGTCTAGTTTTTTGTTACCATTTCAATACTTTTTTAAAAATAATTTAATTATTAAAATCCAAAATGTTCGATTCAATAATAATTGACATCACTTTGTGCTTTAATTTTGACATGACAAATTTATCGCTATCCCTCTCAGATATTTCTATTCACTCTGTAGGTATACTTACTTACTTATTATGGATTCCTTAGTAACGCACATCATTTTATTAAAAATAATTTTTGTTTTTTGTTTTTTTAATATAAAACTTTATTTCATGTGTATAAATTAATTTTTTTGGGACACAATGTAAAATAAATTGTTGTCAACAACATCTAAACACGCTTCACTGTTAACGACGTGCTCGAAGAGCACGTCGCAATCCATTACACAGTGTGTTTCAAAAAGTTTTATAAATATCAGAAAAAGTATTTTTTTTTATGTATAATAGATTGCGACATGCTCTTCAAACACGTTGTTAACAACAATATCTGAATACAAATTTTTAAAATTGTTACCAATTTTTTATAACCTAAAACGCAAACGATATTGACTTAGCTACCAACATAATATGTTACCCTACATCTCCATAAGAATTTAGCCATACTAGTAACCAACCCAACATTTTGCAATGAGCTCCTATACTAAAAGTCAACGAAAACTTCAAAAATGGTATCGAAAATATAAATAAAAGATTAATAAACACTCACCTTGTTATGAACTCAACGAAGTCTCCATTTCCAATATGTCTCTCATTTCCCCCATTCAAGGTCTTGCTTTTCATTCCAAAAACCGTTTTTACGCGTCACCCGGTATATTTAATTCCGGAAATCTTCTGTTCCCGGCGACGAACATACACTCTAACCTCAATACTCAACGTTCCATTCCGTTTCATAGCAAGCCTTCAATGCTTCCAGGATTTTATTAAACTCAAAACTTTTTACTTGGTAACCAAAATACAGCATTTTAAATTTTTAATGCCACATACGGTATATATAAATTATGAAGGGTGAATTAATGACAAGAAAGAGAGAGAGAGATAATTTATGTTTATTGTCCAAATAAAATACTTATTGACAAACACAATATTATTATACAAAGCTTGAATAAAAAAATAGTCTATGTTTAATAAAAAAACAATCCCCTCCATTTCTGTGTTACATAATACTTAAATATTAATGATTTTTTGAATAATTTTAAGGAACTATATATCTTAAAAGCTGTCAATTATCTAGAGCAGTAAGCGGTGCCTTATATGACTAATTATTATTAAAAATCCCGTGTGCTTGTGCCATAATTGTCAGGTAGAGATTTTATTTATTTTTCTACATTCATGCAAAAAACAAAACTTTATTGAACTATATTTATTGAAAAAACTGGTTCATTTTACTATAGCGTTTTATGATCATGACAAACATAAATATTCAATTTTCATTTTCTGTGAGATTGTATTACGTTTTAAAAATATTAATATTGAAAATTGTACAAATTGTAAATATACTTTTAATATTAGTGGCAAAAACAACGTTTAAGCTTAATTATTGTTCATAACACAGTTGTTCCTAAAGTTTTGGTTAAATTATTTTTCTTAACATAGTTATAGTACTTTTTTAATGTTAATCGATGCTAATTATTAGTTATTAAATATTTTGCTATTAAATTACGCCTTTTATTCTTCTGCACTTAGTGTCGCCTAAATAAAACATTTTTGGTTTTTGTATGAACGTAGAAAGAAATATTGTAAGCAACTCGTGCAAAAAGTGTTTATTGCACTCGACAATTTCACGTCGCGTGCAATAAACACTTACTTTTTGCACTTGTTGCATAAATAACTATTTATCTATTATTCTCTACATATATTTCTTTACAAATTTATCTATATTGAAAAAACATCACAGTTTTTTCCAAATAAGTTCATTTGAGTTTAATAAAAACCATAAAACCATCGCCGGCAAGTATTTTTACAGCCTTGTCCGTTCAATCTATGCAAAATTTACACCTCCGAAAAACTAAAATCTGCAGAATCATTTTCCAATAAAGTACTTGTTCCGCAAGAAAATAAATTCTAAAGGTATAAAGTTTTGAAGATCCAACGTCTTTATTGTCAGAAGAAACGATCAGAAATATAACCGCATCGTCTATGTCTATGCAACAGACTAGGTACAGAATAATGTTCTTGCACATGTGTCATATAGGCGTAGACGTTGCCGACAAACATGAGTTGCTTTTTCGAAAAAAAAAAAAAAAAAAAACTAAATTTAATACCGAGTAAAGTTGGTGTGTGTACTAGCAACTCCAACATACCCTACCCGTTACATATTTTCGGACTAATAGCGATTCGACGCGATGTGTTGATTTTAAAGCGCTGAAAAGAGAAAAAAAGAAAAATTAGATCACAATTTTTTCATGAAATAAAATAATGAGTAATAAGTTGAAAAAGAAAGTTTCTACGAGAAATTAAAAAATGTAGGTCCCAAAAACATAAGAATTTTATGACCACTGTTGTTTGCAGTATATTATAAGCAAAGTTTGATATCTGCAAAAGTTGTAAGTATAAGTAGATTATTAATGTATATTACAAATAAAATGGGGCCAAGAATTGTCCCTTGTGGCAGAGTTGGGGAGGATTTGAATCACATTTTGAGGATCCGCGAGCGGTATTCGAATACTTAAGAAAAAAAGGATCCGTGATCCGGATTCGCCGAGGAAATTCTTAAAGATACGTATTCGAATCACCAATATTAGTCTCGGATCCTTTTAGAGACCAAACTAAGCCGGCGCGAACGGTTGACTCACGCTTTAACTTGTCGCGAAGTGTAAACTGAAAAAGACTGAGATTAAAGACCGATTGTTATTTAGAAGATAAACGTAACAATCTACAAATTAATATCAAAGAAGACAGCAGAGCACCTAGAAAATTATGAGTTGAAACCTATGTCATACTTTTAGGCTATTTTTATACCCTATTCAAAAATTTCACGCTCCTCGTTTTCTGCAAAAATCAAGGTTATCTGCTAGCTTTGAACGAACCCAGCAGGGCACCTCGGTTTTTCTAAAAACAACCACACCGCATTTTTAGGCCATTTTTAGACTCTTGAAATATTATAAAACTTTACTAAAAATTGCTATTTTTAAATAATTTGTTGGAACAAAGTTAGCAGAGCAGCTCGTTTTATTTTTTTTTTTTTTTTGTTTTTTTTTTTTTGAAACATCTTCTTATGTCACATGTTTAAACTATATTTTTAGGCTCTTAAAATATTATAAAACTTTTTGAAAAAAATTGTGTTTTTTAAAAAATACAGGTTGCTTTGTTAGAACAGATGTGCTTGGCTGGCTTCGTTCGAAGCTAGCAAAGCACCCTTTATTTTTTTATATATAATATTTTAAGAGCCTAAAAATAACCTAAAAATATTGTGTCGTTGTTTTTGGAAAAAAAACTTCAAAAACTGAGGTGCTCTACTGCCTTCTTTGACATTAC